TGTCTCATCTGCCATTGGCTCCCATGAGGTGACCTGCGACCTCCCGCGTTCTGTGCTGCCCTCTGCCCTGTGCCCCATGGAGCATTTGGGTTTGTGTATGGTCTGCCGCTCAGAAGAGCATTGCTGCTGTCTGCCATTTTGCATCCCATTCTTAGCTAATACTATCCCTTCTTTCCACAGTGCCTTTCTGCCCTCACATATCCCAGGCACCTCTCTCTCTTCCCTCTTCTCCATCTCTGGAGAAGAAACCGGGAAATGCTACTGGGAATAGTATTGCCTTTGACTTTCTTTGTGCTGACTCCTCCTGAGAGCTTAATGGCTCACCTTTGCAATGTCTTATTTCTTGACATTTCTGCTTGTCTCTCACAGAACCTGTCCTTTTTTTCTTACCAGCTTTTTTTTTTCATTTTTTTAAATGAAAAATAATCAAAATTATGTCATTTCTAGAGTTGTCTTATCTTCCTAAACGATATTCCTCTGGCCTGTCTCCTCTTCTCAGTAACTCTCTTGATCTCGCTTATCATCAGTCTTATTTTCAATAAAAGTGGCCTTCTGAAGCTTCCTGTTGTCTGGCAGTCAGCTGTCTGGCAGCCTCCTATTGTCTAGCTGTCTGACAGTTTCCTGGGGGATCCCTTCCTGTCATCCCCGTGTCCTTCTGGCACCCCCAGTTAGCTGGGATAGGTCAGTCCCCAGGGTAAGAGAGGGTTGGAATGACACAGTCCCAGGACTTAAGGAGTTTATGGTCTTTCATGACTTTGCCTCCCCTCCAAAGACTGAGCTCTTGCAACATTGGAATGTAAAAGTAGTCATTTGATGTTGACTCTTGATTCACAAAATAATTGTTTGAGGTTTTTAATATGTGTGTTTCCTCCATGCTCTTTGCAAGTATTCACCTTTTGTTCCTCCAATAAATATTTACTGAGGAACTATTATGTGCCCAGAGCTGAGCTAGGCCCAGAGGTACAGTCGGGAGCAAAATCATCCAGGGTCTTAGGGTGCCTGGGTGGCTGTCGGTTAAGCATCCAACTCTTGGTTTTGGCTCAGGTCATGATCTCAGGGTCCTGGGATTGAGCCCCACATCGAACTCCACACTCAGTGGGAGTCTGCTTAGATATTCTATCCCCTCCGTAACTATTCCCCCCCACTGCCGCATTCTCTCTCTCTCTCTCAAATAAATAAATAAATCTTAAAAAAAAAAAATCATCCAAGGTCCCTGCTTTCCTGGAGCTTACAGCCTAGTGGGGAAGCAAGATGAGTTCATCAAGTAGTCATGCTGAAACATGTGACATTTCAGCCATGACAGTGTTTGAAGGAGAGGCATGTAAGGCTGTGGAAGCCTAAAATGCAAAAGGCTGGTATCCTCTGGGTAAGTGGTTCTCCAGGTGTGGTCCCTGGACCAGCAGCCCTCAGCATCACCTGTGACCTGGTTAGAAATACACAATCTCATTTCCCACTCTGGACCCACTAGATTAGAAACTCCGGAGGTGGGGTCCAGCCTCTATTTTCACACGTCCTCGGGAGACTGTTGTACACACGCAGGTGTGAGAATTCTTGCTTCAGATGGCCAAAGAAGGCTTCCCTGCAAAAATAACTTTTGGATTAGAAGGGAAAACCAGGCAATAGGGCAGGGTAGGAGAAGTCTTTCAGACAGAAAGAATGGCATATGCAAAAGCCCTATAGTAAGAGCAGAGGGCTTTTGAAAACACAAGGGATTACCCCAAGAAAGAAGAGTAATACAAGATGCGTCTGGACAGGTTGATAGAGCGAGGATATGCAGGTCATGGAGGCGCCATCAAGGATTGGGCAATAGGAAGCTTTTGATGTGCTTTAAACACAGGGATGACACAATCTTATTTGTTTTCATTTAAAGAATAATTCTAGCTACAGGATGGAGCAAGGATTGAAGAGGAGCAAGAGTAGACCAGTTGGAGGGCATCGCAAGGGTCTGGGGAAAGATGGCAGTAACTTGCACTAGGGTAGCTTCCGGAGGCATGGAGAGAAACGTGCATAATCACAAGGTACTTTGGTAAAGTCCACAGGTCTTTGGTGATCAGTTGGAGGTGTCAAGGAGGACTCTGGCTTTTGGGGTTTACATGCAAGGTGGAGGATAATGATGCCAAGTTTGGTGGTGGGAAGAAATCATGAGAAGGTCCTGTTGTGGTTGAAGTGTCTTTGAGCCACCTATGTGTAGATCTCAATTAGATGGTGGAAGGTGTGGGTCTGGAGCTCTGAGGAGAAGTCAGGGCTGGCAGTACAAATAGGTGAGTCATCAAAAGCTAAGTGCCAACTAAAATTGTGGGCCAGGGTGAGGTCGCCCAGGGAGAAAGAATGTAATGAATAGAAGAAAGCCAGAGGAACATCATTATTCTTGTTTACCGGTCAGGTGGAGTTAGAATGACCCCTGCAAAACCCATGTAGTGTGAAGAGCCAAAGAGAAGGAAAGAAACTAGAAGCCAGGAGAATATAGTGTCACGAGGCCCAGGGAGGAGAGGGCTGAAGGAAGGAGTGCTCAACAGTGGCGAGTAGGGAAGTAAGACATAGAGGCAGCTAGAAAAGGCCCATTGGATTCAGTGACGTGGAGGGAGCTTTGTGGCTTTAACAAGAGCTATTTCAGTAGACTGAAGAGAGCAGAAGCTAGACTGAAATGGGCTGAGGTGGGGATTGAAGGTAAGGAAAGGGAGTGAGTATAGACAGCTTTCTAGAAAAGGTGGTTGAGTGGAAGAGAGGGCACCTGTTGTCGGCAGTTGTGGAGTCAGGAGGATCATTCCGGTTTGTTTGGATGTGAATGGTTCTTGCATGCGAAAGCCTAAGGATTTCATTGCAAGGGGGTGGTTAAATAAAAAGAGAGATGTGGCCATTGGAGGCTACCGAAGATCAGGAAGCTAAACAGGTTGCAGAGGGCAAAGGCTCCGGGATTCTGTAGCTCCTTCTCTAGCCTGGATTTTTCTGAATCTCAGTGACCTGCCCAAGGCCAGATGCCCTGCCCTGGAATGCCTGCCGTCCCTCCTTTTCTTGGCATCTCTCCTCCCTGCTGTCTGGCTTACCCACAGCCCCTTTGCTACAGCCTGCTCAGCTGTTTTCTCAGCTTTGTTCACCCACTGTTAAGTTATTAACTTGTCAGGGTCCAGACTCCCCACTTCCTTTCCCACTTTGAACACACTGTTGGCTCCCTTCCTGTTCTCTGCCTCGCGAAGTCAGCATTTGGAAGGCCGGGGTTGCTCTGCGGGTCATTACTGGGGGCCACGCAGAAGTACAATTACTGTAATTGGTATAGAATGTTGAAGGCTTCTTAAAGACATTAATACAACTGAAAAAGGAATAATAAACACAACCATCTCTCCATTATCTTAAAAGTGGAGGCAAATGGCGAGCTTAAAATAAACTTTATCCAAAGTCATTTCTCCAAGCGGGTCCAGTTTTAAAGAGTCACCTGTAACCATGAGAAGGACCATCAGATTCTCACATGTTAATTCACAGATTCTATAGGGTCAGGAGTGATCTTTAGTTAGTTCTTAAAGCAGATTCAGTAACTGGTAAGTTGTTTTAATACAAGTGTTGCAACTCTGAAACAAGAAAATTTTGTCTGAGATTCTTTAGGGAAATTTGCAGCAGGTCCTTAAACAGAATTGAGTGGTTTTATCATTACCTAGCCCTTTTGAAGTCATGAGTGAACTGAATGGGGCATGATGGACTTAATAAGGCACAGACTGTTTCCTATTTGTTGACCTACTTTTCTTGTCTAAGGATAAAATTAAGGGAGAAATAACATTTTTGAGTATTTTATGATGGACAGATTTTTTGCCTATGTCATGGTATTTATCCCTTGCAATCCTTTGAGATTCATATTATCTACGGGCGTACAAAGAGAGAAATCAGGTCTCAGAACTATTTGGGAATTTCCCAAAGTGCACACCTCTAGAGAACGGCCTGTGGCACTGGGTACTTGAGCTCCAGTCTTCCTGCTCATGCGTGGAGAAGAAGCAGTCATTACTGTAGGAATGGTAATAATCAGCAATAGCTCCCGTGCACCGAGTCTTCAACGTGCCCAGAGCCTTCGTCTGTGTCGGATCATTTAATCCCTGTAAGAGCACCGCAAGCACCGTGGTCCTCATTTTACCCAAGAGGCAACAGTCTCGAAAAGGTTAAATTATCCGTCCGGTCACACGGCTATTCAGTGAAGACCTGTTTCCATCTGACCCTAACATTCCTCTGCAAACTTGTTTGTCAAGATTAGAGATGTTTCCCCGATCCCAAGAACATGAGGCATGGTGGATGTAAATAGTTTTTCCCTAACGTTGTTGAATATCCAGCTGCCTCCCAGCACTCCTGTTGAGCTGGAAGACGGAATGTTTATTTAATTTTTATTCCCTGTCAGCCTTGGGAGGGGAGGCCAGACCTGCCCGCCATTTCCATGAGCTTATCCATTTCTGTAAGGTGCTTTCTCACCCATGCAGCAACTTCTCCCGTCAAGACCCATCCCCAAACCCAGAAGCAGCCAAGGAGACCTCTGAGCACGACCAGATTTAAATATCACGAGTTGTTGAATTCACCCCTTCGCTGTATCTGGAGAAGAGCCCCTCTGATCTTCGCACGGAATGGGCTCGCTTTAATTTTCCATGTAACTCTAACAGCCTCTGTGTCCCGCCGGGTCTGCGGCAACATCCTAATGGAAGAGGGCCCACCGAAGGCTGGTGTAGTGACCCCAGAGAGGCGAGCCGAAATCATCGTAATGAAACAAAACGGAAGCAGAAACGAGAGCCCAGCACACAGCCCAGTGGAACGCCTCGCATAGACTCCATGGCCATATTACAGCAGAGTCCAGTCAATGACTGTTTTTCATTAGGGTCACACTGAACATTTACAAAAAATTAATATGATGTCATGTTTGGAGTACATTCAATTTAGGAGAGTAGTGATGAGGTGTGCAGGGTTTTGGGTTTGGTTTTTTTTTTTTTTTAAGAAAAAAATGCATTCATGCTTTATCTCTCCTTCAAATCTAGCTGTCCAAGAAAGATTGCCCAAGGCCCTGCGTGGTACTTACTGGTCTTTGTACACCCGAAGCGCTGTACCTGGTGCACAGTGCGTGCTCACCAACGTTAGATGATGAAATGCCAACGACTTGTTTCCTGAGGGTTCTGGAGAGCCTGTTTTCCTGTGGCCTCTCAGCTGCATTCCTGTTTATTCTGTGTTTAGACATGATTCAGGGCAAGGATAACCAGCCTCGCCTCAGAAACAAAATCCTACCACACACAGTAGCTGCCGTGTCCCTCATTCCCGTCGTCCTCATCAAGACTGACCGACATTGCCCTCTGAAGAGGGTGTAAAATAGAAGCTGGGGCCTGACTTTCCTGGGATGCATTTGACCGCGATACCTAGCACCAGGCCGGGGAGCTGTTGAACCAGCTCTTAGCAAAACAAGCCAGGGTGCCGGGAATTCTCTGTGGGTTTAGATGCTCCCCCCCCCCGCCCCCCAGCGGGATAAAATCAGCGTCGCTGGGGATGGGAGCTCGCTGCCTTGCAGAACCTGTGCGCAGGCAGCCCGGAGATCTGGCACCCAGGGCTCCCCGCAGTCAGGGGCCCGGCGCTTGGCACATCTGCTCCAAGCACCTGGCCCGCGTTCCCAGCTCAGGGGCTGCTGGTTTTCCAGGTCACTGCCGTTTGGAAAAGGCAGCCTCACTGACCTGTGAAATGAGTGCAGTGCCCGTATAGAAAGCCCTGTCCCCCTCTCCCCAGCAGCCAGTGAACACTTCGGCGGAAGGGGTGGGGGCAAAGCTCTCCAAGCGCCTGAGGGAATTCTAGCCTTCACTCCTGATGGAATTAGCAGGAGTCATCCATAAATCCCCGAGGCATCCATCATCTATCGGCAGACAGAGCCAGGCTGCCTTTTTTTAAAGAAGTTCACTAACCTTTTGTTAACTTAACTCCTTGTTAGGAACTATCTCATCAGCTGTATGCTCCCACCTCCAGGGCCCGGGGGTCAGCAGGAGCGGGGGCTCGCTGTGGGCTGGGGTTTCCAGCTGCGTGCTGCCTGGTACCTGAGCTGTCTGTCTTGTTTTCCTCTTTCAGCTATCTTTCAGATCATTCAGAGCATAAGGATGGGCATGTGAGGAGGCCCGGGGCTTTGACACTGCCCCTCCTTCTGGAGGGCGGAGGACCACTTAAGCTTTTAGCCGGGTATCTGTGGGAAGCAAACAAGCCACACAGAATAGAAAAAAAGGCTCCCTCAATTGTTCTCTGATCACTTCATCGTGGATGTCAGACCAAATTGCCTTCTCACAGGACATCTTGGTACATCCGTGTTCTGGAGCGGAAAGGACATTTTGCTTTTCTGTTGGCGGGATTGGTAGCTCCCAGGTGTCTGCAGCAGCGGGCTGTCTGGTTTTGCCCTTGGTTTCACTGATGTATGCATGTGGCCCTCCGAATGATCGATCACCAGTTTACTTTCCATGGATTCAGCCTCTCCTCCATTGGGAATTGGTTTTACAAATAAATGTCTTTGTTCAACCTTATACCGTGTGTGGGCTACCGTGAGAAAACCACAGTGAAGAAAATGCCAGAAAAGCTCCAGGTGGGATTGCCGGGGGCGGGGGGGTGGGGCGGGGGCGGGGACTGGGCTAGACGATTGGGACAGGGTCAGGAATCTGTGGCTTGGGAACCAGAGCTAGATTTACCTTCAAGCTCTTTGCCCAGAATGAAGCCCTGGGCTGCTCTAATGACCTTGGATTTTCCACCCATGTTACTTTTTAAATTTTTTGATCTTTTGAGGTTTTGATGTTCTTTTTTTCAATGCAGAAAAGGCACCTACAAAGTATGTTAAGGTTCGATTAGCTGTTACCTCTTCTTTGTCTGCCTGAGGACTTGGTGGGGAGCAGATGTCTGAGGCCTCTTTATGAAAACCAGGCAACCTCAGGGCGCAGCCTTGCCCTAATAAAGAGCACAGGAGGGCGGGAGTCCCACCTCACTCTGGGTGGTCAGCCCCAAGGCTGGGAGGGCAAGGCCCAGGGCTGGTGGGTGCAAACCTCCCCTCCCTGGCCAGCCTCCCCATCAGCCTCTCCAAGTGTGGTCTGCCTAGAACTGGCATCCGGGCTTGGGGGGCAGGGTGGGGGGACGGAGAACGCATCTCAGAATGCAGACTCTGGGGCTCCACCTCAAGCCTACTAAATGTGAAGTGCTACGGGCGGAGCTAAGACTAATGCTCCGTACAAGCTCCCTGGGTGAGGCTGATGCACGCAGAATTTTGAGGACCACGATCCTGAGAAAGCCCAGCTGTAGAGGGAGTGAGTTTTGTCCCTTCCAAGCAGCAAAGGCAGCCGAAGCTTGCTCTCAAGCAAAACGATCCTGGCGGGGCGGGTGTTGGAGGAAAGGGCTGGTTGGCCGGCCGTTTTTGTTCCCGCTTCTGATGGGGCCTAAGGAAGTCCTAGGGGCAGCCACAGAGATCAGCAGCGGGATTAAAGATGTTCACCGTGCAACTTGAAACAGGCCTGGGTTGCATTTTAAAATTCCATCTCTGCATTCTTGGCAGGTTTTTTTCATTCCTGAATATTGTGAGAGCTTTAAGCACAGAAGTGGCAGCAGTGGCCAGGACCTCTCTCAACCATTTGGGGGCTTTCCTGTAAATGGCACACTTGGAAACAGGGCGGGGGGGAGTGGTAGGGGGGCTTTGGGTCCACTGGAGTCTTTCACCCCAGACCCTTCAGTGATGTTCTTTAAGGCCTGCTTTTCTCCCATCCTCCTCCCTCACTCTTCCCCCTGAGAAGAGGGTAGCAGGCTTGCTCCAAAATTAGCAGCCTTAGGGACAGCCCCCCACCCTTGTGCTCCCCCACTGCCGCCCCCCCCAAGCCCCTCCCAAGCCGGCAGAAGGCACCTGCCACCATGAGGGCCGCACACAAGATGCTCTGCGAGCTGGTCCCCTCATCCTGTTGGCTCCGCTGCCTCTTCTCGTCTAGGTCACTGAGTAAGACCAGTGTAGTGTGAAAGATAAGACCTCAGGGCTCCTGTCAAGCGGCCGGAAGAAGAAAGGCCACTTGACATCAGGTTTACCTCGTCTGCGCCCTCTCTAACTCCCACAGTGCCTAGACCTGATCTGAGTATGGCCTTGCCCTTCCTGCCCTGAGAACAGCATACCCACCAAACCACCGGGAAAGGCCAGGGCTGGGCCAACACTTTGGGGCTCCTCCTTTATTGGATAGAGTCTTCCCCCGACACGAATTTGGTCTTTCCCACAATAGTAGTAGTCAATGGGGGTGATTAGGGAAACTGAAATTTGGCCAGATTGGGTTCCAGATAAAGCCAGCGGTCCCCAGGTGACAGGTGTGGTGGACTGAGTCAGCTGCTATGGGTAAAACTTCCTGAGACTGATTTATCTCCCTAGGCTATGCGATCATGTACAAATTGGTTTTCTATTACTTTCCAGGTAGCCTCCCGGAAGTACTTGTGTATGACAGTCTGCCGTCCCCGGTGACGACTTCTATCACTCTTCTGAAAGAGGAGACAGGGGCTGCCCCAAGTAAATTAGAGTCATGGTTGATTTTTGCTGTCCAGGAGAGACTTACGGACATTTTGTGCCATGACACATAGTAAGAAATACATGGCAACCAAAAGCACAACACACCCACCAAAACAAGTTTTCCAGAACCACACTTATCCCTAACATATGTCATGCACTCTTCCCGGCCCCCGCACCCTTGGACTATTTAATTTTTTTAATACTAGCTGCACCCTGCTCAACGGTTCTTATAACCCACAGATAGGTTCCAACCCACAGTTTGAAAACACTGCTCTTCGGGCGGAAAATCCAGCCATTAGCGAGAGACAGATGAGCAAGTCTCACAAGGTAAGAAAGTTTACATCTCACTGTGCATTCTGGTGAGAGCCTGAGTCACACCAGTCACTGACCATCAGTACGTCCTGGGTGGCACATACGCACTTTCTCTGGGTCTTTCAGGTACGTTGGCAGATCCCACAAAGAGAACACTAGCAACTCCTTGAATTCATTGAATTAACGTGAAATACCACATTCCCTTTGTCAGCAATCACTTGCTATTCGTCACAATCACTTGGGGTGGGGATGGCTGTTTTTTATTTTCTTTATTTTTTGTTTTTATTACGTTCAGTTAGCCAGCATATAGTACATCATAAGTTTTTGATGTGGTGCTCAACGGGATGGCTGTTTTTTCAAGCAGGAATCCACCCCGGGTCGCTGAGAATCAAAATCTCCAGGGAAGATGGGCATATGCATATGTATTGGTTTTTCGTGTCGGGATGATTCTGATGCTGCCCATCTACCCGTTAGCATTTGGGAAACAGACTCACCAGTTTAAAAACTTTGACTTCGTTTAAGCCCAAGCAGGGACTCAGCAGTAGCACCCCCAAACCTAACCGTGCAACAACTCTGCACAGGAGTTTTTCCCGCCGACGTTTGAAGCATTTGGGGCTCTCTGCAGAGCCCAGCAGCAATGAGACATGATGTCTTATTTGGCTCCAGGTCTTGTGTATCCTTGTGTCTCAAGTAGATCACAGAGTGGGGTACAGGGTGCTTAATACTTGACTCCCGAAGCCCTGTAGGAGGGAAATGTGCACGGTGGGAAGGCTAAGGGCTTCCTCCAGGCCTCAACCTCGCAGGGCACACTCAGAGATCAAACACTGTTTCTGGGAAGGCCAGTACACTGAAGAAAGAGCTCGCTGGCCCAAAAGAGAAGGAAGTGTGCACTCCTACGTAGGCTGCTCTTTGCTAAAACACAATTCTCATCCTCTGCAGACACAAGAACATTCTAGCTTAAGATCTGGATGCTGCCGTGCTGTGGTAACAACTGGAAGGCTCAGGCACTCAGCCGACAGGTGTTCACTTCTCTCTCACACAAGCCTGGCTGGAGCAGGCTGGCTAAGCTTCCTTGCAGGGAGCATCTCCACAGTCCAGGTTACGCCACCATCATTATCCAGGGTCACTGAGGTCTAGTAGGGACAGCAGTCTTCGCTGCCCTGGCCCAGAAGTGACCCTTCACTTCCGCTCACCACGACATTGGCCCCTGCAAGTCCTATGGCCCAGCCCATCTGCAGGGAAGATTGGGAGATGTGGGGGTACACGTGGGTATTTGTGGAATTCTGTCTCGGCCATAACACTTACTGTATCTTGAGCATGTTTTATGACTGTGAGATTCAGTGTTCTATTGAGGGCAGTTTTCTAGCCATCACCTTTTCTTTTTCTAAATTTCTAAATCTCACCGCACTCCTTAGGCCTCAAGGGCCCATCTGGGCCCGACTCACAGACGGTGGCTCAGAGAAGGCTCACTGTGTGCCGTGGGTAGGTGACCTTGGCATTTATGGCCCCAGCCAGGATGTTTGTAAGCACGAAAGGGGGTACTATTGATAATTATACCAGGACACCAAACATAAATGGTGACTGTCCTGGGTAGATCAGGACGTATGGTCAACCTGCCCATGGACAGATGCACAAACCCTCATCTCAAGAGACACTGGATTAAGTTGGAAAGTTTGCCTTTTCGCAAACCCATAACATAAGGCAGACTCTCCTAAGAAATTTAGAATTTAAACCATAGAAGTGATACAAGTAATTGACTTGCCTTGGCAGAGCTGTGAGAAAACCTTTTGGGACTACCAAGGATATCAATCCTCTCAGTGCCCCAGTGTGAGTGGGGAGTCAAGTGGGATGGTGGCCAAAGTCAAGCTACCCCCTTACTGGCGGGGTCAGGGGAAGTGCTGGGAGGCAAGCTCTATCTGTGAAGCAACTGGAAAGTTTCAGCCTTGAATGTTCAAAATGCCATCGGTCAAAACAGAGGCATCCATTGCACCATTGACATATTGAAAGTCCTCAGGATAACAAATCTGTACACAAAGACTTCTATTTTCTCTTACTTGGATAGATAAAATGTTAAGTATTGCATTAGGGACACAAGGAGAACTGAGTAGAGCTGCAGAGAGCTCTGGAAGAAAAGCCCAAATAAATATTTGTTAAAATTGGCCACAAGATTTTTATAAGTAATCCATTTCTTCTTGGGGGAGGGCAAAAGGAGATACAGA